CCCGCCAGAGAACCCCTCACATGTTATTCAGGAATTGCGCTCTCGCCTGTGCCCTCGATGCAATTTATTCAGAAATCGCGCTTTCGACGCTCAGGAAACACGCTGCGCCAAGGACGCCGTTACAATTTATTTAGTAGTCGCGCTCTCGCCATACTCAGGGATCCCGCTTGAATGTCCCACCTGCCCGACCCGCCCGTCAGGGGATCGCCCGCCCGTCGTGGGCTCTCGCCCGAGACTTCCTTCAGGAACGGCGTTTTCGCATAGGACGTCCTCGAACGTTCACGCTTTTGAGTACCTTCCTGCTCCTCCTCCCTCTCCCTCCTCTCTCCTCCCTCCTCTCCTCCCTTCTCTCTCCCTCCTCTCTTCCCTCATCCCTATGCCTCTTTACCCTGTCCCCTCTCCCTCCTCTCCCTCCTCCCTCCTCCCTCTCCTCTCCTGCCTCCTCCCTCCCTCTTTCTTTTTTGTGCACTCTCTCTCTCTCCCCTCTCTTTCTCTCTTGCTCTACCTCTCTGATATGTATTTTGTTTGTTCTCTCTCCCCTTCTGTGCCTCGAATCAACCGCCCCCCTCTTCGCTCCTTCTCTCCCAGTGTTTTCCTTCTTCCTTCGTCCCTCCCCCTCCCTTCCTCCCACTCTTCTCGTTCTCCCCCCCCTCCGTTTGCAGGGCCCACACCAATTCCAATGGCGGGCTCATGTACGCCCACGAAACATTGTCCGCCCGTTCAGGTTTGCCCGCCTGTGCAAACCCGCCGCCCCCCGCAAAAACAAATATCCCGGCAAAGCAACCCAACAGCGATGTGTAGGAGCATATGTGGAAGCATGCCTCTTAATATTCAGATGAGAATCCAGTTTTCGAATTATGCTGTTCTCGCAGTCGTAGTCGCATTCGCGATGGCAGTCGCACCGGCGACGGCAGTCGCATTCACAGCCTCAGCCTCAGCCTGCCTCAGCCTCAGCTTCAGCCTGCCTCAGCCTCAGCCTGCTTCAGCCTCAGCCTCAGCCTGCTTCAGCCTTAGCATCAGTCTGCCTTCAGCCTCGCCCTCGGCCTCAGCCTGCCTCAGCCTCAGCCTGCATCAGCCTCAGCCTCAGCCTCAGTGCGCCTCAGCATCCGCTTGCTTCAGCCTCAGCCTCAGCCTCGGCTTTGGCCTCAGCCTCAGCCTGCCTCAGCCTGACCTTGCATCGACCTCAGCCTCAGCCTCAGCCTGCCTCAGCCTCAGCCTGCATCAGCCTCAGCCTCAGCCTCAGCCTGCCTCAACCTCAGCCTCAGCCTGCTTCAGCCTCAGCCTCAGCCTGCATCAGCCTCAGCCTCAGCCTCAGCCTGCCTCAGCCTGAGCCTGCCTCAGCCTCAGCCTCAGCCTCAGCCTCAGCCTTAGCCTCAGCCTCAGCCTCAGCCTCAGCCTCAGCCTCAGCCTCAGCCTGCCTCAGCCTCAGCCTGCCTCAGCCTCGCCTGCCTCAGCCTCAGCCTCAGCCTCAGCCTCAGCCTCAGCCTCAGCCTCAGCCTCAGCCTCAGCCTCAGCCTGCCTCAGCCTCAGCCTCAGCCTGCTTCAGCCTCAACATCAGTCTGCCTTCAGCCTCGGCCTGCCTCAGCCTCAGCCCATCAGCCTCAGCCTCACCTGCCTCAGCCTGCCTCAGCCTCAGCCTCAGCCTGCCTCAGCCTCAGCCTCAGTCTGCCTTCAGCCTCAGCCTGAGCCTCAGCCTGCCTCAGCCTGAGCCTGCATCAGCCTCAGCCTCAGCCTCAGCCTCAGCCTCAGCCTCAGCCTCAGCCTGCCTGAGCCTCAGCCTGCCTAGGCCTCAGCCTTAGCCTGCCTCTGCCTCAGCCTCAGTTTGCTTCAGCCTCAGCCTCAATCTGCCTTCAGCCTCGGCCTCAGCTTCAGCCTGCCTCAGCCTCAGCCTGCATCAGCCTCACCCTCAGCCTCAGCCTCAGCCTGCCTCAGCCTCAGCCTGCCTCAGCCTCAGCCTCAGCCTGCCTCAGCCTCAGCCTCAGCCTGCTTCAGCCTCAGCATTAGTCTGCCTTCAACCTCGTCCTCAGCCTCAGCCTGCCTCAGCCTCAGCCTGCATCAGCCTAAGTTTCAGCCTCAGCCTGCCTGAGCATCAGCCTGCGTCAGCCTCAGCCTCAGCCTCAGCCTCAGCCTGCTTCAGCCCCAGCCTCAGTCTGCCTTCGGCCTCGGCCTCAGCCTCAGCCTGCCTCAGCCTCAGCCTGCATCCGCCTCAGCCTCAGCCTCAGCCTGCCTCAGTATCGGCCTGCTTCAGCCTCAGCTTCAGCGTGCGTCAGCCTAGGCCTCAGCCTGCTTCAGCCTCAGCCTCAGTCTGCCTTCGGCCTCGGCCTCAGCCTCAGCCTGCCTCAGCCTCAGCTTGCCTCAGCCTCAGCCTCAGCTTGCGTCAGTATTCAAAATGTGGCCCGGGAATAAAGTTCCGGGAACTCGAAGAACACCAAGTGGCTTACAGTTGGCTCCGGGCATTCAAGATGTGGCCCGGGAATGGAAATCTGGGATTTCGAAGACCACGAAGTGGCCTACAGTTGGCTCCGGGCATTCAAATG